TTTTTATTTTATATATTCTAATTTTATTTGTAATAATATTATTATATATTTAAATAGTTTAGTTTTAATAATTTTTAAATATATTTTTGTCTTTTTACTTAAATTTTTGAATTTCTATATTTTAATTTTAATAATTTTTTAAGTATGTTTTTGTCTTTTTATCTTAAATTTTTGAATTTCTATATTATAATTTTAATAATTGTTTATTTCTATTAATTATTAATTCTTTTCTTTTTTAATATTTTATAATATTATTGAAATCTTATAATTTTAATCTCTATAATTTTATCTTACTTTTTATTTTATAAATATAATTTGGATTATTCATTTTATAATTAAATTAGTTTTTTTTAGATCTTTTATGAGTTTATATAGAAGAATATATTGAAATCCCTGTATTTTCGAGGGTACCGTAGCAACTCCCAAATTCTATGGTACCCATGTTATTTGAGAGAGTACCGGTACAGTTGTAATTATAATTTTATTTTATATTTTATATTTTTAATAATTTATTTAAATAATATTTATAATATTTTATTTTTCAATTTTTAAATTATTTGTAATAATATTTATAATATTTTATTTTATTTTATTATTTGAAGGAAGAGTAGTATAATCTAAGTTAATTGTTTTAACTATTGGGGTTAGGGAGGAGTTAAGTTAAAAGAGGGGAGTTGTATCATTTTACTTTTTACACGCTTTCTGTTCTCATACACTTGCCCTATAAAGAATTGGGAGAACCAGAGATTGTGGGAGATCAACATGGAGATCCACATCCATTGCCTAATATTTATTAAGGTAAAAGAGAATTAGTAGTCTCGTTCTAAACGTGATCAGGTATATGCTAGGTAATGGAGTTGACCCCCAATCTATTTTTTGTTGCATGTATTGTATGAATGGAGAAACTCCCAATTTATGAATATCTCACATTTCTGTCTTCTCTATGATTCTTCAATATTCTAATTGATAATGTTAACATGTATATGTGCTTAATTTCGTGTTTTGGATCAATCCACTAAATCTTCAATTTTCTGTGATAATCTTAAAAGAATGTGTTTGGTGATTGTATGAGGAGATACTATGAGTATATGATAATGTATGTAATTGGTGCCTCTTAGAAGTGTTATATGAGCTTTAGAATGATTTTACCGATTTTAATTGAAATTCGATGAATTATGCTTGTGTTTGAGACTTGCATTTTACACAAGTTGGGTGTTCTCTGATATGACGCTATAAGCACCACCTTGGGCTCATCGAGCGTTATTGAGGTCAAGAGCGAAGTGTGCTCTCTAGGTCGTCCATGTCGGGTGTGGGATGATTCACATTGGACATTGAAGCTATAAGGGACTCTTTGTGATGCTTTCGTCAAGCATGAACTTGGTCATGCTGAGTGCCATTCTATAACTTGTATTTTCTTTGTTTGTGTTTGGTGAATGTTAATCATTGAGAACTTTGTGCTACATATTGATAATGCTTAGTTGTTGTAAGTGAGCATGCTAATAACATGGTTGAGAATCATAAATGAATTGAATGATCTATTACATTTGGTATCTTGATGTGATGAGAAGTATAAGCAAGGCTTAGCCATAATGTCAATATGATATGTAAGGAATTGATGTGCAATTATGGATGTGTAATGTAATGATCTGATAATACATTGAGTCTTGATTGACATGCATCATATGCATATTTATTTTAGATGGGTACGATATGCAATAAGTGTTACATTTTGGAGTGATATTTCAAAAAGATTAATTTGTTTATTTAATTATAGTTTAGAAAAATATTTTAAATTAAGTTTTTTTATTAAAAAAATTCTTAGATTTAGTCTTGTTGACTTAATTTTTTAGACTAAATCTTATCTCATATTTTCACTTGATCTTCAAGAGTTGATCGCATTTTTATCCTATAACTTGGTTAAAGGTGATTTTGAGAAACAAATCTCTTCATTATAAATATAACAAATATAAAGTTTTGAGAGACTCTCCCACATATCTTCTTTTTATCACTATATATTTCATGGGATATTTTCACTTAAAGCACGCTAATTTTGTTACCCCAATTATTATTAGGAATGACTATTATATCATAGGAGGTTTATGCATCATGCGGATAACTTTTTAAGGACAATACATCACATGTCTCAAGTTAATTACTTTTATAATCGTAAAAGTTTCATATAAGAAAGCATATGATTAAAAAAGATTAATCATGAAGATGAACAACAACATACAACAATAGACCGATAGAAAAATACCCCTTATATATTAAATCCTTTAACTATTTTATTTTCAAGACATCATTGAACCTCTTAAAACCTATGCAAACATACTTTTTATCCCTCATCATATGCCATTTTAAACCAATTAGTATGAACCAAAAATTAATTAATCAATGAATTTTTTTTTCCACATAACATATATAAAATGCAAGACAAAAGCAATAAACGTATATGGACAAATTTGATATATATGTTTTATGTTCATTTTAATTATTTTCTTCATACGTATTATTTTTTTAACAACAAAGAAACATCTTATATAATAAAATGGCACAAGGGGTACCAATCCCATATACAAGTTTAAAGGGGGAGGACATAACAAAATTGGGTCTAATTTGAATTATCCAAATTAGTTTCCAACTCAGAAGTCTAAAATCTAATATTTACATACAAGAATACTATAATGACTCAACAAAACCCCGTCAAAGAGCTTAGGAAATGATGCAAAGTCCAGGATTGACTTGCCATTAGTTGAATGAATAGTTGAAAGGGTTATTTAGATAGATAAGCTAAGATCATGAGTAAAACAGTTTGCTGTAGTAGCCGATTTTCGTCGAAGTTCTCACCCTCAAACACACGTCTGTTTCTAGCTCTCCAAGTGCACCATAATATTGTAGTCCGTATAACATGCCATTGATCAACCATATTTCTAGATAATAATATATTTGGATGAGCGAAGAAGTTGCCTTCAACTGAACTAAATAGAGGAGTCGAGCTATTCAACCACCACAACCATTTTTTCACTAGTACAAAAATCACTTTTAAAATCGGGGTTTTAAAATCGGTCATAATTAAGATAGCCGATTTTAAAAGTGACTTGGTGGAAATTTTGTAAATAATGACATTACTTTTTTAAATTGGCTACCTTATGATCGATTTTAAAGGTCTCTGATGTTACTTTTAAAATCGGCTCTTTAAGAGCCGATTTTAAAAGTGCTACTTTTAACATCGACTCTCAAATAGCCGATTTTAAAAGTGCTACTTTAACATTGACTATTTAAAAACCGATTTTGTATGTAGTTTTTAAAATCGACTCTTAAATAGTCGATTTTAAAAGTTCTACTTTTAAAATTGGCTATCTAAGAACCGATTTAAAAACTACATACAAAATCGGTTCATAGATAGCCGATGTTAAAAATGTCAGAACTTACCTAAAATCTACAGTCCAATTCTCCCTTTCCCTCCATTCTCTAATCTTTGGCTCCATATGTTCTTTAGATTAAGTCTACGGTTCATATATTCTTTCTTTTACTCTCTCGGGTTCCCATCTAAAGTCTCCAGCTTCTCATTTTCTTGGAAGAATACAATATCAAGGTAACATTCTATTTCTCATGTCTCTTATTTCGTTGTTGCTGGGTGAATTTGTTCTGCAAGCAGAGCGGGCCATTCTTCAAGCAAAATGGGCCGTTCTGCAAACAAAACAGCCCGTTCTGCTTGAACGGGTCGTTCTGAGGCCGTTCCAGAATCAGGACAAGAACAAATACAACACTCCAAAATACCGCTTTATTGTTCGATTTGTATCCTTTTGTTATTGATCTGTTAATTATTCCATGAAGAGATGGATTTATGTGCTTAAAATGTGTTCACATCGAATCAAGGATTGAGGTTATTTTCATGAAATTTATCTGTGTGTTGATCTTAACCTGGTTACTAGACCAACAAGGACATCATTGCACAAATAGTATCTGCTAGCATTGCTGGTGATATTGTTCTTGCTGTGGCATATGCACATGAGTTGCCACGTTATAGTCTTGAAGTAGGCCTTACAAATTATGCTGCAGGTTCTTTGTTTATGAGGTTTGCTGGCTTTGATAAGGATAAGAAGGAGCTTGGTCCTGAGGTTCATCGCAAATATATCTTTGGAGGACATGTTGCTTCCTATATGAAGGCATGAGTGAAGATTTTATTTAGTACCTATCTGTTGAATTGTTTAATGCAATATTTGGAGTTTCCAGTCATTTGTCTGACAACCTGTTCTTTGTTTTCTGTAGACGCTGATGGAAGATGAACCAGAGAAATACCAGTCACACTTCAATGAATATATCAGTGAATATTTGGAGTTATGTTTATAGTTTTACTCATTTTGTAGTTTAGGATGCATAATAGTTTGTAAGTTATTTTGATTATATATATGGTTGACATTTACCAACTCTTGTCATTTGTATATAATTTGGTCCATTAAAAATATATGAATTGTCTGGTATTTTATTAATTTGCAGGTTTTGTTCAGGGATCCTCCTAAAACAAGTCAAATATTTTAAAAAAATTAACCACTTTTAACATCGGTCAAGCATGACCGATTTTAAAAGTTAAACTTTTAACATCGGTCAATGACCGATTTTAAAAGTCTCACTTTTTAAAATCGACTCTTATAAAATCGGTCAAAGAACCAATTTTAAAAGTCAAAAATGACCAATTTAAAAAGTGTTTTTTCTACTAGTGTTTCTAGATCGAGTCAATGCAACTGCAATAGAATAATGTGTTCTGCCAACTCGAATTTCACATTGTATGATGGGTAGATTGCTTGATCTCCCAAATCCAACGCCTTTCTCCTCAACAAGTTTTCTTTTGTAGGCAAAGCACCCATAAACAACCTCTAAATGAAACATTTAACTTTGGCTGGAACTTTTATGTCCCAAGCTACAGCGGCAACACTTGGAAACTGTGATAAAGAACCAAGGTCCAACAAAAACTGATACCTAGATCTTACTAAGAAGCACCCCAAGCTATCAAGTGTCCAAATCCTTGAGTCTTGTACACCCTCTCTTGGTACTCCTGCCTCCACTAGACTCATGAACTGTTGAACATCATTCAATTCCCAAGCAAACCAAGCTCTTCTCCACTCTAATCTCCAATGCCAACTTCCCCTTCTCCAATAACCCATATCCGCCACCACATTCAACTTTTGCAGTGAATTAAAGAAAATCCTTGGAAATCTATTCACTAGAGGCCTCGCCACAGCCCATGCGTCAAACTAGAACCGGATTCGGTCACCCACTCCCAACCTCCATGTCAATGAATTCATGAACCAAGAGTCACCAATGTCCTCACCGGAAGCCTTCAACACATCACCCCACCACAAAGAATCTGATCTTCCTCTCTGTCGAGTGTTGTGCATGATGCTATCCCCATACTTAAATAATAGAATTCAGCTCCACATTGACTCAGGTTGCTGAAAAAGTCCCCGGTATATTGAACATTTTCTATATGATGAGTTGTAATCACTAAACAAATTGATCGAAACACATAGGAAAAATCAAAATGAAAATCTGACGTCACCAACATCAAGAAGAAGAAAGTCACCAACATCAAGAAGAAGAAAGGTAGAAGTCAACGAGAACAAGATGCCACACCTTTTCCTTTATATGTACAGTACTCGCCTCTTTATATGTACAGCTTCTTATAAATTAACTCAATCAATTGACAAATTATAATTAAAATTAATTATTAGGTATTTATGTACTTATTTATGTACAATAAGGGTCTTGAACTTATCATACAGATATTAAGGAAGAATTACAATCAGCAAGTGGCAGTTAGTTTTTCTTTTCTGGAAATTTAGCTAATTGGCAAATATGAATGCTGCATCTGCACCTCTTCATCCTCAAGCTCTATCAAGCTCTCGATTATGATATCAGAAGCACTAGTCACAATACTCGAGAAGTTCCTACAATTTACAAGAAAAACTAAATGTATACATGTAACCATCTTTAACCTTACCAAAATTCGACTTGTATGCAAATTTTTCCAAGTTTTCAAATGAAGAAATGAAACAATTAATATAATGAACCAAATTTTTTTTTAAAGATAATATAATGAAGTTAATGCCTAAACTCTTGTCTTTTTTTTTTTCTGCTATAGATTAAGATATATATATATATATAT